ACGAATTTGGGTGGTCCAGATTTTTAATAGACAAACTTCGAGAAAGTACTAAGCAACAAAAATTAACATCAGTTTGTTCTATGAACATAGGCGCAGAAAGCCACCATTTGTGAGATACAGGGCGTTTAAATTAACAAAAGTAAAACAATTTTTTTAAATATCTGGAAAATCGCTTCATCAAATTTATCCAAATTTGATACAAACTTTTTTTCAAATATTTCTCCTAGTTCTGTGTGCATAGTCCAAATTCAAAAACCAGTGGCGTAGAAACAACAATATCGTTTCCTTATTTAAAGTAAAACTTTTATGCCACTGAATTAATTGGTAATATGATTACATTTTATAACGGGCTGAAACATTCCCGATGAAAAAACACTCTTTTATTTTTGTCGAAAAGTGAATAGTTTACGAGTTATGCGACATATTATGATGCGGTTTTCCAGATATTTAAAATAATTATTTTATTTTTGTTAATTTCAACGCCCTGTATCTCATAAACGGTAGCTTTCTGCGCCTATGTTCATAGAGCAAAGTGATGTTAATTTTTGTTATTTAAAACTTTTCCGAAGTTTGTCTATTAAAATCTGGACCACCCAAATTTGTTTTATTTTTCCCGATTTCAACGCTTTTTTTACTTGAATAATAACTCTCATAACTCGTAAACCATTCACTTTTCGATAAAAATAAATGAATGTTTTTTCATCTGGAATGTTTCGGACCGTTATAAAATCTATTCATATTACCAATTAATTCAGTGGCGTAGAAGTTTTACTTTAAATAAGAAAACGGCATCCTTGTTTCTCCGCCACTGGTATTTGAATTTGGACTATGTGCATACAAAACTAGAGGAAATATTTGAAAAAAAAATGTGTACCAAATTTGGATAAATTTGATAAAACCGTTATCCAGATATTTAAAAAAATTGTTTTATTTTTGTTAATTTCAACGCCCTGTATATCATAAACGGTGGCTTTCTGCGCCTATGTTCATAGAGCAAAGTGATGTTAATTTTTGTTGTTTAATAGTTTCCCGAAGTTTGTCTATTAAAATCTGGACCACCCTGAATATGTTGTGCTCGGACCTTAAGTCACTCATTGAGTATAACAAAAATCATGATCTGAAACTGAATGCTGAAAACTCATCGGCATTATTATACTGTTCTCGTAGTTTTTATGTCTACCTACTTTATTTCCAATTTATGTATAAAATTAAACGGTTCCGTTCTCACCTTTTCACAAGAAACTAAAAATTTGGGTATATAATTTTCAACAATAAGTTGAAATTCAATAGTCGTTAATTCACTTTTGAAAAAATTTTATCTTCGCCTAAAAGTTCTTTTTGCAAATAGCAGTACTATAAACTTTAAAGTTAGGAAAAAATTATGTGAAACTATGATACTACCTATTTTTTACTACTGTTTAATAATGTACTATCCTTTTTTAGGTTATTATAATAAAGTACGAATTCAAAAAGTGCAATATTGCCGGTTTATATTTAAATTGCGTAAGTTTGATCGTGATCGTGACGCATAAAATCAGAGAACTTAAATGACTAAAATTTGTTGAATACTGGAAGCTGGAACTTCTGACTTTCACACACAAGTTACTGTATGCCCTTTAAGGTATCGTTAAATAATTAATAATTATGCGCATGCTGACCAATAAAAAAAGTACAATTAGCCAGTAACCGTGGAACATGCACCGGTAAAGGTAATTGTTAATTGCAAAAAAATCGCGTTTTACAATTATATTTATATGTATGCCGAGCATACTAAACGGTATTTTAGCAACAACAATTAATCGGAAAACGGTCGGCATATGGGCAGAGTGGAACCGAAGGGTCGGGTGACGCCCTTAAAAGTGTAAATAAATACAGGGTGTCTCACGGTGACAGTCCATTAGAATTATATTTCAGAGACTTCAATTTGAATTTTGGAAATTTGGGATACCGGGTTTTCGAGCATGCCCTTCTCAACTAAAATAATGGCGTCCACGTACCACTTGCGGTTATACCGGAAGTCGCCATCAATGCTTGCTTATTTTAAATGGAACATCCTATACAGGGTGTAACATAAAGGTTGGGAATAAATTAAACACTGGATTTTTTACTTTAAGAAATAAATATTTGTCATATAAAATTATGCTCTACGGGTTTTCTTTTCCAAGCTACAGGGTGTTAAAAAATTTTAAAAAATTTAGTTTTTTAATATCATTTTCAATGCGAAAATCATTTTTCAATGCCTATTTGACCATGTTCGGTGGCTGAGTCAAAGCGTACTTCATAACGCTTTTGTTATTTTTATATTCCTCTGTTAGCAGTGGGATAAAATGGTATTTACAAAAGTTTTNAACATATTGCATTAATATTCATTATTTTATAAGCACCTTACAATAACCACAACTGCACACACTCAGTGTTGCCAGATATACCATTTTTATGGTATTTATACCATTTTTTCACCTATCATACCTATAAGTTTTTTGAGGATACCATTTTCCATTTTTCTACCATTTTTTGGCTGCAGATACCATTTTCCTACCATATTTTTAACTGTACAATTTTTATGTAGGTATTAACGAAACATGGCACATCACTACTCTGACTAAAACACGTAGGTCATGCGTTAAACTCGATTGCTGGATACATATTTGTTTATCTTTTAGTAAACAATTTATAAGATTCTTATGATTTAGCCGAATTATGGGGGATGAAAAAAAGAAACGTGCCCTACGTATGACAAAAAAAAACAAATCCAATTGATTTTTTAGAAGTTATCAATATTTTGCTAAACAACAAATTGAAGCCACATTAAACTGCGATTGCAAATAAATCTTGGAATAATTTAATTTGAACGGCCATTATAATTATAAATAATAGACATCAATTATACCATTTGTCAAGCCAGGTTAACTTTTAACAGCATCTATTTTGGTCCCGCTAAATTTTAACAGATTTGGTTAAAATAAACCCATTACAATTTTTATACACTTGTTAAAAATTAACCAAAATCGTTGCAGAATAGACCCGTTTTTTGTTGCTTAAATACATGGTTTAAAATACAAATTCGATAGTACTGTTGCTTTTTACTTATTGATTGTGTAAAACCTTGTTATTTTAGTGTTATCAAGATACCATATTTGTCAGCAAAATACCATTTTTTTCAAGTGTCGGATACCATATATATTTTTTTTCATCTGGCAACACTGCACACACTACAAATTATCAAAGTAAAGATGGAGAACAACGAATCAAGGCAAACTGGCAAACCGCAAACCTAACCTAACATAATACGAATTACGAATTGAAAACGACACGGGATCACGGGAAACAAATAAACTCGGGCTATTACGCGCAGTCTACGGAAGTCATGAACATACATTTTTTCTAGACTTGTTCTTGTTATAAATATGCCAGCACATTTTTTTTTTCTGTTTATGTCTATTTGTATAACAAAGGCAAATGAACTAACCCTTGAGAGGGATTGGGGATTGGGAGCAAAATTTAACTAATGTCGAATGTTCCATAAGATAAGCANATGTTTTTACCAGTGGCGTACCACAATTTTCTTCGAAAAACCTTATGGTACAATCCGCACGCGCGCCACTGAGTAACTTACAAAGTCAATTTTTTTTCCTGTAACTAGGGGATTATCAAATTAAGCTAAGGCTAAAATTTCATTCCATAATCTTATAACGTTCGAAATTTATTGGAGAAAAACTAAATTTTTTGAAACTTTTTAGCGCCCTGTAGCTTGGAAAAGAAAACCCGTAGAGCATAACTTCATATGAGAAAAAAATATGTTTTAAACCAAATAATCCACCGTTTAATTTATTCCCAACCTTTACGTTACACCCAGTATATTATTGCAATTTTGGATTCTACGTATTATTTTAGGTGGACTTTTATGAAGTTTCCTTATTCCTAAAATTAACCGTTTTCGAGATATGTATTTTATTTTTTTTCAAAAAAATGGAGAGAAACAGTGACTAGCTTCAAACCATGTGTATTTTATAGTAAGAAAGATAAAACAACAATACTTATATGGGGGATAGCTAGACCCCTAAGCTTCCCATCCATACTTTCAAAGTGGCTTAATTGCATACAGGGTGCTAGAAATTTAATGCCGAGTTTAGTTAACTTAAAACCTTCATAAGTAGGCTTTTTTAAATGGAACTGTATGTTTTTCTATATTCTGATACACAATTTTATGTAAGGTAATGGTATAAGTTTTAAATTTCCCAATTTCCAGAGTAAAAATATACTGGGTGTCACATTTAAAATAACCAAATTATTGCTGTTTAAAGTTGAGAGAAGTATTCACCAATTTTTTGAACACCCTGTACAATACTAAGTGACGACAAATGTAATAATTTATAACTAAGGACCTAAAATACACTCTCCAAAGCTGCTTCCTTAAAATTATTTTTTTATTGCAAATATTGAATTTCTACGCTAAGCCTGCTTTTTCACTAAAATTGAAATATCTCACAAACAACAAGTCCTAGATATGCAGAACTTTTAATAAAGGTCACCTATTTTTTACGGTGCTTTCAAAAATGCAGTAAAATACAGGGCTGGGTGTTCCATTTAAAAATACATAACTTCGATATGGTACGCTTTTCCTGGACACACTGTATATTTCAAAATATTTTTAAAATGTAGCCGTAATCAACCTAAACATACCCACCTAAACATAGAATTTGCCGTTTGGTCCCTAGCCACCGAGGCGTTACTGGTGGCTCACCCTTTATACATAAAGTTGTTAATGAGCCTTTTGCACAACAAACCTACAAGCTGTGGAATGAAATCACAAAAATGCTTGACAATAGTGGTGTTAAGGCATTTTGTTGACGCTCCCCTTATACTACATATATTAATTAATTCACTACTTTTGTAAATATGAATACATTTCAAATAGGAGGGAAATTTTAAAATGAAATTTAAAATGTAATGTCTTTATTTTTTAATAGATCAACTACATCAAAATTATAAAAATATAGTAAAAACATCTTCAGGACCGATATTGGTACGGAATACATATAGTAAAATATATAGACTTCATTAGAATAAAACATACACCTAGTTTAATAAAACGCTAAAGGACAAACATAAATAAGTTTTAAAACAACAATAGATTGTAATTTAAATTAAGTGACCTATGGCAAATTCTCTTTGTTCTTACTGCTTGTATGGAAGGTGGGTGATATAGGTTTAGTTACTTTTCCAGAGGGCTGGATTATGATCTCTTTGTATTTCTTGATTGGCTTCGCTTTATATTCCAGATCTTTACGGAGCCTATCGATCTCCTCTTTCTCCCTCTGCAGCCTTATTTCCTCTTCACGTTGTTGTATCAGAGCGAGCCTTTCCTCTTTCTCTTTTTTAGACTGCTCGAATTCCTCCCTCTCTTTGACACGCCTCTCGGTGTTCAATTGGAATTCGCTTATTTCAATTAACTGTCTTTCCTCCTTCCTTGGTATGAATGGCTTCTTTTTTAGAATTGTGGCAGGTCTAGCTCTGAACTGAGTTGATATATTTTCCTCACTTTTCTGCAAAGCAATAATTAAATGCGCCATAAACCAGAATAGAAGAATTGCTCCTAAAAGTAGGGGATGCCTCAAGGACTTAAATTAACCAAAGATACTTGATTTAGTCTCCGAAGGGCACCAAAATACACAAAGAATTTATTTATAGAGGGTGTTGCAAAATTTTTGAGCAGATTTTACATCCAAAATTATGAACAAAAAATTCTTTATACACCTAGGTCTGCAAATGCTTTGTTTTCGAAATAGAGGGTGTCGAACAAAAATAAAAAAATGCTTTTTATTGATAATTTTTAAATTTTTCATTGGAAATCCTTTATATTTGCGTGATTTATTTCTCCATAGTGACAGCGTATGTTATTTTTCAGTGACAATCACCAACTATGTTTTTTTTAGTAGGTAAAGGTTTCATAGATTTATATTAGGACGATTTTTAAAAATCTTCAATTAGTCCAAGTGAATTAAGCTCAAAACCTTCGAGATATGACTGTTGCTTGATGTAGATTATTAGTAAAAATCGGTTGAAAATAATATATACAATGAAAATATAAGATTGCGCCAAGAAAAAATGTTGTGATATTTGCAGAAAAAATTAAAAACTGCAACAATACTTAAAAATGACGTTTTTTCTCACATTTTCCAATATAACTTTTTAAATATGTAGTTTACAGAATAAACTATTACTGCTGAAATTGTTTGTTATGAAATTTGCTACAAGATAGAATTGTTTTGATATCTGCGCGTATGATATTTTTGTTGCTAAATAGACAAAACAGCGTAAGAAAGTGATGAAAATCGAGGATTTTGAAGCGTTCAACTGACAGGCAAGAAATTGTTCAATTCTACTATAAATGTAGATGTAAGGACTTTAAAGGATTTCAAAACGAAATCCCAAAACCCGATCCAAATCGGTCTGATAGTTTTGGTATGAGACAATTTGTTGTACAGAATCGTTTCGATTTTAAAAGTTCGTATAATTTTTACTTTATAAACAAATACTTTCATGAAGCGGTTTTGCGGGTTGGAAAATATACCAAAAAACAGTTCTCGGAAAGACACTTAACTTGAAAAAAGAACATTCAAATCGGTCGTATAAGTTCCGAGATATCGAGTGTCAAAGTGAACAAGCGTTAGCTGCAAAACTATGAATAATGTAACAACAACAAAAATTTAATTTAGTAGGTTTTTTAAGAACGTTTTGTATGTGCTTTTATAAATATTACTGCACGTATGCTTTTTATATGAAAATTCAATGAATATGGCCAAGTCGACCATTTGTGCCGCAAAACCGAGGGGAGGGGATGAATTATAGAAATTGAAATCGCGCGTTCAAAAAGAGCGCGCGCGCTTCGGCGTTCAATATCTCGGCTTTATGGCTCCAATTTTGATTTTTTTTTAAATCGATATAGCAAAATGAGAGGAATTCAATTATCAAGATTTCATTAAAATATTATTAAGCCCTTTTCGATCTATTATGACTACTTAAAATTTCTGACATTTCATTGTTATACTGTATATTCATGTAAATAATAATATCGATGGTAGGATATACGTACATAATCCACTGTATTAGTTTTAATAATTACATAATAATAATAATAATAATAATAATAATAATAATAATAATATCTCTACTCCTCATTCTAATTACGAGAATTAGCCCAGAAGTCGGAGACTTGTGCGGGAGAGGAGGCGGCATATTATTATTACGCAGGCCGCATTTGCGCCCAGGAACGACTTATGTTGGTAGGCCCTAACCACCATTCAGTGCAGAAATGAGGGAAACCTGGAAAACCTCATTAATTAATCGGGTGGTCAAATGCCAACCGGTGTCAATCTCTCACATTGACCCAAGCCAACATTCTTCCACCCTACCATACCTGCACAGAGGGCGCCAATCCTCCGTACAAGTATAGATAATCTACGGTCACCGGTCGCGGGATTCGTAACCCGGGCAGTTCGACACATCGATTTAAGTACTGACGCCTTAAACCGTGCGGCTATCGACCGATCGACATGGTAATAGTGTTTAAATAAAATCTTGAAATTTTTATTTAATATGTAATTTATTTATTGTATGCATATAATATAGAAAAAAATATAGATACAAATAATTATTTATTTATGTTTATAAAACGTGTTTATTATATTTTCATATAATCATCGTATTATTAAAGTTTTTCATTTTTTTTATGTTATATTAGCATTTGAATAAGTATCGTTTTCCATTATTGTCAAATCAGTGTTTAACTAATTGGAAGTAGGTACCACTGTCAGATTAACAGTAAATGATGACTTATGGTTGGTTATGGTTGGTTAATTTGATTTTTTAAATTTGCTAGCAATTTCATAGCCATCCTCGCAAGAAATTAGATCATTTTATTTATCACAAAAACCGTCAAAAACAAAAAAATTAATAGATAGGTATATATAATTTCTACAACAGATTTTGATAAAATATACAGGGTGTCCCAATTAGAAAAACCAAGTTTTGGCGGTTTAGCCAATCAAATTCGACAATAAATATGAGACTGAAATTGGTCGAAGACCATTAGAGATAGATATAGAGAAGCTTTATAAAAGTCCCCTAAAATTACGCGTATAATCCAAATATGCACAAATATACAGGATGTTCCATTTATAATAAGAATAGGTGGTGACTACCGGTATAACCTGAAGTACTATAATAATGGCATTACTTTATTTAAACTCTCTTTAAATAAAACCTCCAGAACCACCAGGTCCCAAATTTTCAAAATTCAAATCGAAGTAGTCCCCGAAATATTCTAACGGGCCGTCGCCCTATGACAACCTGTATAATGAATTGCAAAGTGCAATTTTTAATTATTTAAAGGAAGAAATTTTTGAGAGCGAAAACATCAATTATGCTGTAAAAAAGCAGAATACTTTAATATGATAAGTTTTATAAAAATATCAAATAATTATTTGTATCTCCATTTTTTCTATATTATATGTATAATAATAATAACGTCTCTACCCCTCATTCTAACCACGAGAATTAGCCCAGAAGTCGGAAACTTGTGCGGGAGAGGAGGCGGCATATTATCATTATTAAGCAGGCCGCATTTGCGTCCAGGAACGACTTATGTTGGTAGGCCCTAACTACCATTCAATGCAGGAATGAGGGAAACCTGGAAAACCTCATTAATTAGGAGGGTGGTCAAATGCCAATCGGTGTCAATCTCTCACATTGACCCAAGCCAACATTCTTCCACGCTACCATACCTGCACGGGGGATGCCAATCCTCTGTACAAGCATAGCTAATCTACGGTCCACCGGCCGCGGGAATTGAACCCGGGCAGAATTAGCACACATCGATTTAAGTACCGACCGATACAATAAATAAATTACATATTAAGTAAAATTTCAAGATTTTAAACATTATTACCAAGTAATTATTAAAACTAATACCTATTAACAATGGACTATATATAATATATATATATTTATCTACCATCGATATTATTTACATGAATATACAATAACAATGAAATGTGTGAACTTTTAAGTAGTCGTAATAGGCTGATAAGGCTTTATATTTTAGTAAAATCTTTATAATTGAATTCCTCTCATTTTCCTATATTGATTTTTAAAAAATCATCAAAATTGGAGCAATAGAAGCCGAGATATTGAACGCCGAAGAGAGCACGCTCTTTTTGAATGCTTGATTTCAAATTCTATCATTCATCCCCTCCCCCCGGTTTTGCAGCACAAATGGTCGGCTTGGCGATAGTCATTGAATTTTCATATAAAAAGCACACGTGCGAGCATATTTATAAAAGCACATACGAAAAGTTCTTAAAAAACCTACCAAATTCAATTTTTGTTGTTGTTACATTATGCATAGTTTTGCAGCTAACGCTTGTTGACTTTGACACTCAGGATCTCGGAACTTATGAGACAGATTTGCACGTTCTTTTTTTCAAGTTAAGCGTCTTTCTGAGAACTGTTTTTTAGTACTTTGGTATATTTTCCAACCCGCAAAATCGCTTCATGAAAGTATTTGTTTATAAAGTCAAAATTATTCGAACTTTTAAAATCGCTCCAAAAATTATTGAAAAAAGAAGATTGATATTATAACGATTATGTATGATAGTTAAGGGGTCCAAGTATGTGTAAAAAAATCAGCGCCAATTAAAATGCCCAACTTTAACCCCAGCACTGACGTAAAAAAATAACGACATTTCGCGCTGAAATTTAGTAACACATTGACTCATACCAAAACTATCAGTCCGATTTGGATCGGGTTTTGGGATTGGGTTTTCGTTTTGTAATCCTTTAAAGTACTTACATCTACATTATAGTAGAATTGGACAATTTCTTGCCTGTCAGTTAAACGCTTCCAAATTACCTCAATTTTCATAATTTTCTTACGTTGTTTTGGCTATTTAGCAACAAAATATGATATGCGCGAGTAAAAAAACAATTCCCTCTTGTAGAAAATTTCATAACAAACAATTTCATCAGTAATAGTTTTCTCTGTAAACTGCATATTTAAGAAGTTATATTGGAAAATGTAATTCTCCTGGACTAAATAGTTCGAAAGCTGCTTGCTAAATGACAAATGTGCAAGTGGGTCTTTTTGCTCCAAAATAAATGAGGATCCTAAAAATAAAGTAAAAACCGGTAGAAAAACAAGTGGCATAGATTTTCAGGTCAAAAATCAATAGATATCCCCATATCTACGCCCCTAATGGGTCTCAAATGCAATTAATTATACCAATATTATAACCTACATTATCATAAATGTATTGACCCAAATTTAAACGATTTCCAATGAAAAATGACTCCGCACTTTTCTTATGAAAAAGTGGTTGCAGTTAAATTGGTTGAAATTATGTTACAGCTGTTAACCTGCCGATCAAAAGTTTCCATTGGCGCAATATTCAAAAGTTTATAGTTTTTGAGTTACGTTTATTTCAGGGCTCTGTATTCAAAACTGCGAATAATTCTTTTGACTGCAGATGTGTGTTGCAACTATTCT